AGATACTCGCCCTCACTTTCTTCCTCCCCTTCGATCTCCTCGTACGCCAGCATCGCTCTGGCTTTCTGCTCCACCTTCAGCTTTGCTTCCAGTCTCTGCTGTAACCGTTTGATCTCTGCCTGCAGCTCCTCTTTACTCGGGGTCTCTTCAGAGCGTCGCCGACTGTAGCAAGCTTCTTCCTTATGCCCCTTCCTCCCACAATTCCCACACACCGGCAGCTTCGGGCACTCTCGCTTCAAGTGGCCGGCTTCCCCACATTCGTGGCACCGTCGAGCGTCAGCCCGTGGTAGTCCCGTTAGAGGTGTCTCCGTCAGTGCCGCTGCTGCCCATGAGGACTTCGTTTTAGGACGTACCTCCCCATCCTCCAAATCTAGCATTCTCTGCGCGTGCTCCGTCCTTTTAGCCAAGCCGTAGACGTCCTTCAGGGTGACGTCTGCCCCTATGCCGTACACTGTGTTCCGCACCACATTCCGCAAATCGTCATCTAGGCCTCGGACGAACTTGCGCACCAGCAACCGTTCATCTCGGCTTTCCAGATCCTCTGCCAGCTCCCTCAGCCGACAGTAGTAGGCGAGCAGGGACTCATCCTTTCCTCGGCGAAACTCACGAAACTCTTCAACCCGCGCTTTGGTTTGCCCTAGAAATTCCTTTTTCAGCAGCTCGACAAACCGCTCGGTCGGGTTTCCGATCTCTCCACACGCTAGCTCCTCCAGCACTTCCTCCCGCGTCATGCGATAGAAGGTCTCGGCCTCTCCTGCTAGCGTTACTACCATGCGCCGGAAGAATTCAGCCGGGTCCAGCCCGTCCCGTTCCCAGCAGTACTGCACGGTCTCCAACTGCATCAGATAGTTCTTCAGGGTGGGCCCAACGCCGGGAATGCCCGTAAACCTCTCGGCTACCTCCAGCTTCGGTAGGGATCCGGCCTGCCACCGCTTGTCTGTAGACCGATCTGGTGGGGCGGCGGTTGACGGAGGCTCCGCCATTCGACTCGCAATAATCTCTCGCTGCGTCGGCGACTGGAACTCTCCCTCGGTCTGGCGTCGCAGCCAGGTCGCCTGTACCGGCATTTGGTCGGCTTCCATCCCCGGCATCAGCCCCGGGGAGTTACTAACGGGGCGGCTCTCCCACCGTGCTCTCGCTTCCCGCGCCCAGCGCCTATCTTGGGGTGTCTCTCCTGGATCTGACGCGACGGCCCGAGCTGGTTCCATCGCCGCGCGTCGCCTTTGTTCACGTTGGTGCGGGGTCCGGTACGCACCGGTGATCGGCGCTGACGAACTCTTTGACTCCGCCGATGACTCTCGTTCCAACGCCGCTGTTGCGGCGGCGCGCCAGCTAGGTTCCGCTGAAATATCTTCTCTTCGATAGCTCAACCTTGAGCGTAATCTAAACCTATCGTTCATCCTAGCTTGGAAACAGCGATCTGTCGCATTTCCTTGCTTGTATGTTGTAAGCACTTGGCTCGATGGCAACCCTCAGAGTCTCCCTAGCTCGGCTGACTGCAGGTAACTCTGAGTGTGCACTGGTACAAGGCTTGCTGGGATTGGCTCCTCCCTAGTAGGCTAACGCGAGTAGTAAGAAACTCTTAGCTGATAGAGGAAACATACAAGCAAGCAAATGAACCAGACCTGTGTTGCTTGCCTAAGTATGTGCACTGGGTTACCGTTGCCTGCAACGGTTGGTTTTGTTTCGTCAATTCTCTGATTTGGCGCTATTCGCCCCTGCCTACTTCGCTTCAAAGCTACTCACTACAATATCCTGTCATGCATTTATATTGCTAGGTCCTGCTTTCTATTCTTCCGATTAAATGTATGACAAAGTGTACTTTCAAAAGTCTTTTACTATTGTTCTTTCGCCTTTCTCATCGTTTTAGGTGCGGAGAGTTACTCTACACCGAGAGTGTCAATAGACCAGCACTATAAGATCCCCGATGGATCCTAGGGAGGGTTACATGCATGTTAGCCTGGGAGGGTTTGGGGTCACAGGCCTGCATTTAGAATGAGCCCTTTTATCCTGATGGTCTAGTCGTTGAGATTCTTACAAGATATTAGAGCAGTCTCAGGTTCGAGTCTCGGTGTATGCACACGCAGGCTGTTGTCATTGTGCCGACTCATGGGCCTCCCAGTGTGGGGGGGTGTCAGTAGACCTGCACTGTAAGATCTCTGGTTGATTCTAGGGGGGGTTACGGGCATGTTAGCTTGGGGGGGGGGGGGGGGGGGGGGGAAGGGTTGGGCGCACGGACCTGCATTTGGAACAAGCCCTTTTATCCCAATGATCTAGTGGTTGAGATTTTGACAAGGAGCTGGGCAAGAGGGGAAGGCACGGGTGGTACTAGTGATCGTAGCGTTTGTTCGTGCTATCTCTACTTGTACGTTTACATGGCCGATTGGCACGGGTTTTACCAAGAGTTGGGAAGAACAATGATGCTATAGCAATGGCAACAATGGACTGCATCAGAACCCAGGAACCTAGCAAACAGGCAGGTCGACCTACAGCGCAGCACAAGGGTGGCCTACCAGCCCTGCAAGTCGACACCGCGCCAACACAGCTGGGAGGCGGCTTGCCAACGTTGCAAGTCGGTGACTTGCCAGCGCCGCACCAAGGCGGCTCGCCAACGCTGCAGTAGGGCGACTTGCCAGTGTTGCAGCCGCGGGTGACTGTATGCGCAGGCTGTTAAGATGGGTAGGAAGGAATCAACAGCAGAAGAGGAATTGCACTAGCAACAGATAGGATACATATAGCAAACCCTAAATTGAGTTGTACTCATTATAGAGTATCCCACTGCAGACTAGACAATTATAGCATTCTGACACACCCCCATAGTCAAAATAGGGTATGATCAGCACAGTAAGCAGTCGCATAAGAAGTTCATAAGCACAAGCCAAGCTAGAGGCAGTCACAGAGGGCAAGTGAGGAGGAGGAGGGACTGTGAGAGGAGTGGAGATAGGAGGCGACGGGTGAAGCCACAGACAGACGGGCAACAGGAGCGGTGCGCACGGGCTATCGGACACAAGCAAGGGTATCCGGACTACTGGAGTCACAGGCTCCGCGGCTAAGACGAGCGGCTGGAGCAACGGACCCACGGGTGACTGGCGCAGCAGGCTCGCTGGGCTACCAGAGCAAGGGTGACCCCCTGACTACTGGCGCTGCTGAAGTCACGACGGCTACCTCCGTTCAACCTCCCCCAACTGTCCCACACCCCTTTCACACACCCCTTGCTGCACCCCTAGATCCACTCCCACGACACCCCCCTAGCGCCTCTCCCTCGGCTCCCTCACACCCACCCCCCTCAGCAGCAGCTGCAGCACTGGGAGAGGGAGGAGGAGGAGGAGCAGGGGACGGCTCACACACCCGCCACCCCCATACCCGCCACCCTCACGCCCTAACGCAAGCAGCACGCGCGCGGCGCGGGGCAGAAATGCCGGCAGCAGCTGGGGCGGCGTGCGAGCAGAAGCGGGGCGGCGCGCGGGTCCCTGGGGCGTCGCGACGGGCAACGGGCAGGGCAGCGCGCGGGCCCCCAGGGCGCCGCGACGGGCGACAAGTAGGGTGGCGCGCGGGCCCCCGGGGCGCCGCGACGGGCGACGGGAGGGGGCGACGCGCGGGCCCCCGTGACGCCGCAATGGGCGACGGGAGGGGATAGCGCGCGGGCCCCCAGGGCGCCGGGACGGGCGACGAAGCCGCCGCGCGCGCCCGGGGCGCGCGGCGGGCAGGAAATCGCCACACGCCCCGAGCGCGTGGCGGGCAGAAAACCGCCGCGCGAGCCGCGCGCGCGGCAGGCAGAGAACGTCGCGTGCCCGGGGCGCGCGACAGGCAGGACAACAGCGGAAGCAGCAGGGTGGGCCCATCCACAGGATCGACCCACGAGGGTCGACCAGCTCTGATAGCATGTTACGATAGGTAGCAAGGAATCAACACCAAAAGAGGAATTGCACTAGCAGCAGATAGGATACATATAGCAAACCCTAAATTGGGTTGTACTCACTATAGAGTACCCCACTGCAGACTAGACAATTATAGCATTCTGACACAGGCGAGCGCACGCAGGTCGACGGTCGAGCACGTCGTGCTTCCCCCCGGACAGTCTGCAGGTCCCAAGTCGGCCACGTGCCGTCATTTGTGCTCGATGCACCACGTCGACCACGGGATACCTCTTGGACGATGTCTGCGCACCCTTGCAGTACTTCGCCCCCTTGGCTACTTGGTCGACTAGGTAATGTCTCCGGTGCCGACAAATCGGCGCCAACAGGTCGACGAAGGGGTTTGTCGACCGCCCAAGTCGAAGCTAGCCACCGACTTCCCGTTGTCGGCGGCTTCAGTCCCGCAGAAGTCGACCAAGTCTGTCGACGTCCTCGCCCAAGTTGACGTCGACCATCGACAGCAGCCAGCTGCACCTCCCGCGCACCCGACTGCAATGTCGGCTTCGCCCAAGCGAGGGCGCGGCCATTTCCCGTCAACATCAGGCATCCCTCATGTCCCTTCCGGCATCCCCTTTCTGTACGCCCTCATCCGTCAGTGGACTTCCTTCGTCAGCTCAGCGCGGACAGCGAGAGGCGCGCCCGACAAGTGCTCCTAGTACTGCGGAGTGACGTGCGACACGGAGGGCAAGGTTGTCGCCATGTGAGTTTCGTGCGACGAGGCTTGCGTTGAGAAAATTGAAACGAGAATGAATGCACCATGAAATAGTTGGGTACAAGTACTAACCCTAATTGGGATGTACCCTATATGGGCTACCCCACTACAGCCTACACAAAAGCATAAGCTATAAAGTTCTGACACACCCCCATAGGCAAAGTGGGGGAGTACAAGGGGTCACAAGACCAGTCAAGCAAAGCAAAGCAAAGCAAGCTCAGGGTGGATCACAAAGTCACCACACATTCCGAGCACAAGGTCAAGGCCACAAGGCCAGTTCAAATGCAGGAGTACATATATATACAAAAGGCTAGACAAGCAAGAGCAGGTGTATATATATATATATATATATATATGTAAACGTACAAGCAAGGTCAAGAGGTGAGCAAGTGAGGCAAGGCAGGCACAAGACCCAGCTGAATACAGAAGCGCTGATGATCACAAGGCGCAAGCGCCTTGGTGAAGATATCAGCAGTGTTGGCCTCAGAGGCCACGTACGCAAGATGCAGCTGACCACGCTGCTGCAGCTCACGAGCAAGGAAGTAGCGGAGAGCAATGTGCTTCGTTCTGTGCTCCAGTCTCTGCTCTCGACACAAGGCCAGCATGGCCTTGTTGTCTACGTACAGCACTGGAGGAGAACGAGGCGGCTCTCCGAGGTCAGTCAGCAGGTAGGTGAGCCAGCGAAGCTCCTGAGCAGCCATGGCCCCGGCGTAGATCTCAGCCTCACAACTGGAGCCAAGAAGAGAAGACGAGCGGGTAGCCCGCCACGAAACAGAGCCAGAACCAAGGCTGAAGGTGTAACCCTGTGACATCCGCTGCGTAGCTTGGTCGTCAGCCCAAGAAGCGTCTGCGTGCCCAGTGAGGACCACTGGACTCCACCCTCCAAGCACAAGCCCCATGCCCGACGTACTGCACAAGTAGCGCAACACCCTCTTTGCTGCAGCCATGTGCTCCGGTCTGTGTCTCCCAGGAGCAACATAGCGTGCGAGAATGCTAAGAGGGTATGCAAGGTCAGGTCGAGTGCAGGTCATCAGGTACATGAGGCAGCCAACAAGCTCTGGGTACGGGCCACTCGACTCTACGGACTCATCCGAAGGCAGAGCTGAGAGCGAGTGGCGAGTAGGCAGAGGAGTGGCCTGAGGCGAGGAGTACGTGAAGCCGAAGCGCTGAAGGACCTGCTGCACTATGTGTGACTGAATCAGGGTAATGGTGCGGCGTGCTCTGTCCCGGGTGATCTGCAAGCCAAGGTAGCTGCGCAGTTCACCCAGGTCTGTGCACGTGTGTCTCTTCTGCAGCTCGGACTTCACGTGGGCGAGTCCAGCAGTGTCAGCTGTGGCAAAGACCAAGTCGTCGACGTACACGAGGATGTAGAACGGCGGCAAAGAAGTGTCGGTGCGCAGAAACAGCGACGGATCGGCAGTAGAGAGAGCAAACCCAAGAGCCGCAAGTGTAGTCCTCAGTGTGTCGTGCCACTCACGCGGTGCCTGGCGGAGACCGTAGACTGGCCGCCGGAGGCTCCACTGGGTGCCAGGAGGAAAAGACCCAGTGAAGCCAGGTGGGCGACGCAGCCAGATCTCCTCGTGCAGGCTGCCCTCCAAGAAAGCCGTGCTGAAGTCGGGAGAGTGCAGCTCGTACTCACGGTGAGCAGCTATGTGCAGCAGTACCCTAAGAGTGGTCATCTTCGGGGTAGGAGAGAAGGTCTGAAAGTAGTCAACTCCCTGCCGCTGACTGAAGCCACGAGCCACCTACCCGGCGGCCGCTTCACCCTGAAAATCCACATGCCACTGACGATGTTCCCCCAGGCGGGGGAACCTCGTCAACATAGGTGCCTGTGGACTTCCAGGAAGCCATCTTTGCGTCCATAGCTACCCGCCACTGAGAGGAGTAGGGACCCTCTATCGCCTCCGCGTAAGAGCGCGGAGTCGGGATGTCAAGTGCATCCGGGTCTCCCTCAGGGGTAAGCAGTACGGACACAAGATGAGGTGAAGCAGCAGCCAGACACTGGAACTCCTCCTGCCTGTCCTCAAGGACGTCCGTGCCAAGGGCACACTCACCCCCGACGGACGGAGGACAGACAGACTCAGACTCAGCGACAAGACTAGCAGCGTAGTCTAGACGACAGCGAGTAGCAAAGTCGACGAGCTTAGTAACTAGGGCAGACGCAGCACTGGACTCAAAGGAAGGGTCAGTGACGACAGTAGCAAGGAGACGCGTGACAGTAGGACTAGCAGCACGAAGAGAGTCCGACTCCGGGTCGGCAAGAGCAGGAAGAGAGGACTCAGGAGGAGAAGGCAAAGGGGCACGCAGAGGAGCAGTGGAAGGACGCAGAGACATCCGGTGCGTGCCAGGGACAGGAGGAGGACGCTGACGCGAACCACGACCACTAGTGCGAGCAGCACGAACAGGCGACGCAGGGCGAGACGCAGGCTCACGACGCTCAGCAAGACCTCCAGTAGGACCAGTGTAGGGAGAAGGAGCAGGCAGTGGGGAGGCCGGCTGTAACTGTGACGGGACATGCTGTGGACACTCTAAGGGAGGAGAAGGACCAGTAGAAGGCGGGAGACCAAGAACCTGCTGCAGGAGCGGAACGAAGTACGGACGAGGCCGCGCGGCGACTCCATACACAGCAGAGACAGCACCAGTACCCCCAGCGGCAGCACCAGCGCCAGGAGCGCCTCCAGCTCCAGTACCTCCAGCAGCACCAGTAGTACCCCCAGCAGGTCCGCCTCCAGGACCGACAGCAGCAACCTCAGCGCCAACACCCTCAGCAGCACCAGCTCCAGTCGCACCCGCAGGCCCAGCAACTCCAGTACTCCCAGCACAAGCACCTCCGGTACCCGCGGCACCAGCACCCTCAGCAGGTGGAGAACCTCCAGCTCCAGCAGCACGCCTCCAGCGCCGGGCAAACCACTCACGTAGCTCCTGTGGAGAGAGGGGCTCCCGTCGAGACGAAGCACCCGGAGAACCTCCAGGCCCAGCACCACCAGACGCCACACGAGTAGGCCCAACTCCCTCAGGCTCCGCACCTCCAGGCTCAGCACCTCCAGGCGTAGCACTCCCAGGCTCAGCACCTCCAGGCTCAGCACCCCCAGTCGCAGCACCCCCGGGCTCAGCACCCCATGTCGCAGCACCCCCAGGCTCAGCACCCCCAGTAGGAGCACCCGCAGGCTCAGTACCCCCAGGCGCAGCACCCACACGCTCAGCACCCCCAGAGTCAGCACCCCCAGGCTCAGCACCCTCAGCAGCACCAGAGTCACCAGTAACCTCGACAGGCTCGACTGCGTCTACCTGGGACAAACCTGAAGGGGCAGGACCCTGAGGGGGGAGGGGGTCTACCGAGGGGGGACCTGGTACAAGGAAGAGCGGCGGCGGGGGGAGGGACGGAGTGCGGTAGGGGAAGAGGCGATAGTAGGGGACCGACTCGTCAAACGTGACGTCCTGGGAGGACAGAACACGGCGAGAGGTGGGGTGGTAGAACTGCCACCCTGGCGCTTCAGGGGGGAAGCCAAGGAAGACGCAAGGAGCAGCACGAGGGGACAGCTTGTCCGCAGACAAGTCGCGAACAAACGCCCGAGATCCCCAGACACGGAACGCAGACGCATCGCCAACCTTCCCCGTCCACAGCAAAGCTGGGGAGGTCTCCGGCATGGAGACCCTGGGGTGAAGGTTGAGCTGATGCGCCGCGTACCAAACCGCAAACGGCCACGGAAAATGGGGGGCAGCTGCATGCATCATGGACGTACGAGCGACATCCATGACCATGCCAATGAGGCACTCAGCAATCCCATTTTTCTGTGGGGAGTCTAGAAGCGTGAAGGTCTGGCGTATGCCTCGTGCACGACAGTAGGCTCGCAGAAGGCCAGAGGAGAACTCTCCGCCTCTGTCAGAGTGCAGACGCAGAACAGGAAAGTCCGAGCCGAAGCTCTGCCTGAGCTGGAGACGAGCTGCGCGGATCCAGTCGATCAACACCGCAGTGACATCACCCTTGCTGCGCAAGGGGAAGACTGTGGTGTAACGCGAGTAGTCGTCAACCACCAGCAGGAAGTAGCGCTCGTGACCCTGTCCACGGACGCGGGCCGGGCCCCACACGTCCATGTGAAGCGTCTGCAGCGGGGCCTCTGTCGGAGGAAACTGGGAGGAGTGAGGGGCAGCCCGCTGCCGCCCCTCGACACAAGGGACGCAGGTAGGGCCAGACCCAGGATGAAGGGGAGGGAGGGACCGGGGAAGACCAGAGACAAGGACACGGGAGGCCATGCATCCGAGACGAAGCAAGGAGGGGTGACCTAGGCGGTGGTGCCAGAGGAGAGTCTCGTGAGACAGGAGGCGACACGAGCAGGGGGCAGACTTAGGACCAGACCTAGACGCTGCAGCAAACACCTGACCCGACGCAGCTACCTGACCAGACGCAGTGACTAGAGGAGACGCGGTGGTCAGTCTGTACAGGCTCGACCCCAGCCGACGTGTAAACGTGGCCAGGTGTCGGCCCGTCCGAGCGTCCGTGCAGTGGGTCACCCGCTGACGCGCAGGAGTGAAGTGGTGAACCCCCGCATCCTGTAGGTCAGCACCACTCACCAAGTTCGTAGAGAACGAGGGGAGGTAAAGACCAGACAGGGTGCCAGAGGGGGCCGCCGGACACGGGAGGACAGTGGAGTAGTGAGTAAGGACAGGACCCCCAGAGGGGTCATCCAGAGAGACTGCAACTGGCCGACCAAGCGGCGTGAGTGTGGTGCGGTCTCGAAAGAAGGAGCGAGAAGCCCCCGAGTCAAGTGTGAAGGTGAGGGAGGCCGAAGCCGACTCGGTACCTGAGAGCGCGGACTCACCAGCACCTGAGGAAGCAGACGCACTAGCACCTAGAGCAGCAGCCTCGCTAGCACCTAGAGCAGCAGCCTCACCAGTACCTAGAGCAGCATTCTCAATGCCCAGGCCGGGCGGGAAACACCGGTAACAGTCACCCTCATCACTTATAGTCAGAGCATACATGGCAGCAAGAATAGCATCAAAGTCAAGGTCAAAGATAGCTACTCCCGCCCAAGACAGCTCACCCCAGCGGGCGATCTCCGTGGCCTCCGGGAACTGGTGACGCCAAGCGTCCGTCAGGCGGCCAAAGCAGCGCTGGGTGGAGTGCGCACCCCCACACTGCTCACCCGCGCGGTCGCCGGTGCGTAGGACGTAGGTGCACGGACCAGTACCCCCACCTCGCTGGCGTGCAGCGTACCACTCACGGAGCTGCTGAGGGGGGGGGATGTCACGAGTGCGCTGCTGCTGCTGCTGCTGGCGCTGACCACCACCGGAGCCGACCCTCTGCGCAGCGCCACCCCGACCAGCTCCACCTCCTCCGCCACCGCCTCCTCCACCGCCGCCACCTCCGCCACCTCCGCTCCCACCGCCACCGCCGCCGCCTCCGCCTCCACTGCCGCCACCGACACCTCCACCCCTGCCACCACCCCCACCGCCACCCCCACTCCCTCCGCCGCCTCCACCGCCGCCTCCACCGCCCCCGCTAGCTCCTCCAGTGCCCCTGCCCCCCTTGCCCTTGCCAGGGCGGCGTCTCCCGCTAGTGGTAGACGCCGCACCGACCGACTCAAGCCCAACGAGGTCGGCCACAGCAGTAGAGGCAACAGAGGGCAAAAGGGGGGAGGGGGAACACCCCTCAAAGATGGGGATGAGAGGGTCACCACGAGAGGCTCCTACAGCAACTATGCTGTTCTCCGCTGCTAGGAGGGCCTTCTCGAGGAGGTCAACGGTGAGGGTGGTGGGGCAAACTGAGAGGAAGTGGTCCCTGACTACGCGAAGGGAGTCAGGGAGGCGGGTGACTATGTAGTAAAGAGTGATGTACATGGGGGGGGGGTTCTTGGCGCAGAACTCAGCAGGAAGCGCAACGCGGTAGCGAGTGTCACTAGTGCGGAGGTGCGTAATGAGGTCAGCGACTGTGGGAAAGGCAGCAAGGTCAGTGAAGAGGTACGGTAGCATGAGGCGGCTCAGTGCAGCAAAGGCAGGGGAGGAGTAGCGTACAACTACAGCGTCGTACAAGGTCTGAGCACTCTTGTACTGGCTAAAGTGCGCACGCTCAGAGGTAGGCAGGTGGCGACGCACAGCAAGACGTGCAGCAGCATCGCGTGTGGACCACTGTGAGCGAACAGTGGCGTCAGCATCAGCAGCAGGGGGAGGAGAGGCACCAGAGGTGAGGTCAAAGAGGGAGAGACCGTCTGCCCTATCGCACTGTAGGAAAAGCTGCAGGTTATCTACCCAGACATCAAAGTCAATGGCCCGACCCTCAGCGTCAAAAGCGAGGACACTAGGGGTAGCCATGACAGCAGTGGACTAGTAGCGCGAACAGTGGGGTAAGGGCAGTGCAGTGACAGAGGCTCTGCTCTTACCGGACAGGGTGGCTCGGGCGGCTCGGCAGCTCGGCAGGAACTGCAGCTCGGCGGCTCGGCAGGAACTGCAGCTCGGCGTCTCGGCAGGAACTGCAGCTCAGCGGCTCGGCTACTCTGCGGCTCGGGCGGCTCGGGCGGCTCGGGCGGCTTAGGCGACTCGGGCGGCTCGGGCGGCTCGGCGGGACGGCGGCTCGGGCGGCTCGGGCGGCTAAGGCGGCTCGGCGAGACGGCGGCTCGGGCGGCTCAGGTGGCGCGGCGGCTCGGGTGGTGGTGGCGGCTCGGCAGTAGCTCGGCGGAGCCGCGTGAAGGCGGGGTCGGGGCCGGGAAGGGCGTGCGACGGGGCCAGCAGGGGCTGGGCCGGGGCCGGGAAGCGGCAGCGCCGGGGCCCTGGGGTAGGCGACGGGGCCAGCAGAGACTAGGCCGGGTCGGGAAGGGCGGCGTCGGGGCCGAGAAAGGGCGGCGCCTGAGCCTGGAAGGGCAGCGACGGGGTCGCAGGTAGGCGATGGGGCCGCAGGTAGGCGACGGGGCCGAAGGTAGGCGGTGGGGCCGCAGGTAGGCGACGGGGCCGCAGGTAGGCGACGGGGCCGCAGGTAGGCGGCGGGGCCGCAGGTAGGCGACGGGGCCGCAGGTAGGCGGCGGGGCCGCAGGTAGGCGGCGGGGCCGCAGGTAGGCGACGGGGCCGCAGGGTCGGGGCCGGGTCGGGAAGGGCGGCGCGAGGGCCGCGGGGTAGGCGACGGGGCCGAAAGGGCGGCGAATCGGGGCCGGGAAGGGCGGCTTGAGGGCCGCGGGGTAGGCGACGGGGCCGCTAGGGCGGCGGATCGGGGCCGTCAAGGGCGGCGCGACACAGCCGCTAGGGCGGCGCGACAAGTGAGAATGGGGGAGCGCGACTCGGGCAAGGGCGGAGCGCGCTCCGGGCAGGAAAAAAAAATCGAAACGGTGGGCCGAAGGAACAGTTCCCACGAGGGAACCTGCTCGATACCATGAGAAAACTGAAACGAGAATGAATGCACTATGAAAGAGTTGGGTACAAGTTCTAACCCTAATTGGGTTGTACCCTATATGGGCTACCCCACTACAGCCTACACAAAAGCATAAGCTATAATGTCCTGACATGCGTCGCTTCGGAATTACAACCCAAGGCACCTGGCGGGTTCCCGTGTTTAGGATTGATTCCTCCCGAAATTGTGTCCCGGTTCCCTAGGGGTTATATGTTTTTTTCTCTGACCAAAAAAACCCGGCGCAAAAAAAAACTTAATGGATGGCTTGAAGAGGGACACGTGCCGGTGATGTTTGCCTGGCAGGATAAACTTTGAAAGTGATTCAAGTGAAAGAAATCCGCCTATGTTATCATGTTTGAGTAAACCTGTTACTACATTTGAGATAATCTAAACAACATAGTAGCTGGCACATACTTGGGTGGCACCGTTTGATTTCGAGATACTTCCGATTCGATGGCACGTGTTGGCGCCACATTCCAACCTTCGAGTTGAAGAAATTCACCACGCCGAAATTTTACTCGTGGCGCATTCGCGACGCGAGTCTAGCGCTGACATGTTACATGCGCGGTTCGATGTTATTCGTTTACAATAAGATACATAATAAAAAACGAAAAAATCATTGCATGCAGTGCAACTCAACTACATTTAAGAGAGCTCCAGAGCACTACCTAGCATGGCGACGACCATATCTCGCTCATTTCTTAGCCGATCGTTTGGGTTTTTTTGTCTCATTGGAAAGCCTACAGGGTGCTTTATGGATTAGTATAACTCCTCGTTTCTGACGACAAGAGAACAGGCCTCTACAACAGTTGTATCAGAGTTAGAACGGTCTCGAGCTTGAATGCCAGTGTGGACCAAGTGAGCGCCAGTGCCCTAACAAGCCCCAAGTGAGGGGGGGGCGACCTCAGTGAGAAAGAGATTGTTGGTGGGGCAATGTGATCGTCCCCAGTTGAGTGTGAGAGGGATGTACGGCCTGGTGCATAATGGGAGTGCTACCCACTATACAAAAATCCCCTTTTAACACGAGTCGGTAGCAAGCTGGGCCAACAAAACCCCCTGCTCTACCCCCACTCCTCGCCACTTGTCGCCGCTCCTCATCACTCCTCGTCACTCCTCGCAATTCCTCGTCACTCCTCACCGCTCCTGGTCACTCCTTGTGAAAATAGGAAAAACAGGAATGAATGAACTATGAATGAAAGCAGTACAAATATGAAACCCTAACTGGGTTGTACCCCCTATGGGATACCCCACTACAGCCTACACAGCAGTATAAGCTATAGATATGTTCTGACACACCCCCATAGGCAAAGTGGGGGAGAACAAGGGGTCACAAGACCAGTCAAGCAAGACAAAGCAAAGCTCAGGGTGGATCACAAAGTCACCACACAGTCCGAGCACAAGAGCAAGGCCAAAGGCCAGTTCACAAGCAAGAGTACAGACATATATATAAAGCTAGACAAGCAAGAGCAGGTATATATATATGTCACAGTACAAGTGAAGTCAAGAGGAGAGCAAGTGAGGCAAGACAGGCACAAGACCCAGCTGGGTGCAGAAGCGCTGATGGTCACAAGGCGCAAGTGCCTTGGTGAACACATCAGCAGTGTTGGCCTCAGAGGCCACGTACGCAAGTCGCAACTGACCACGCTGCTGCAGCTCACGAGCAAGGAAGTAGCGGAGAGCAATGTGCTTCGTTCTGTGCTCCAAGCGCTGCTCTTGACACAAGGCCAGCATAGCCTTGTTGTCTACGTACAGCACTGGAGGAGAACGAGGCGGCTCTCCAAGGTCAGTCAGCAGGTAGGTGAGCCAGCGAAGCTCCTGTGCAGCCATGGCCCCGGCGTAGATCTCAGCCTCACAACTGGAGCCGAGAACCGAAGACGAGCGAGTAGACCGCCACGAGACAGAGCCGGAACCAAGGCTGAAGGTGTAACCCTGTGACGACCGCTGCGTAGCCTGGTCGTCAGCCCAAGAAGCGTCCGCGTGGCCGGTAAGGACCACTGGACTCCGCCCTCCAAGCACTAGCCCCATGCCTGACGTACTGCACAGGTAGCGCAATACCCTCTTCGCTGCAGCCATGTGCTCCGGTCTGTGTCTCCCAGGAGCAACATAGCGTGCAAGAATGCTCAGAGGGTATGCAAGGTCAGGTCGTGTGCAGGTCATCAGGTACATGAGGCAGCCAACAAGCTCCGCATACGGACCACTCGACTCTACGGACTCATCCGAAGGCAGAGCTGAGAGTGAGTGGCGAGTAGGCAGAGGAGTGGCCTGAGGCGAGGAGTACGTGAAGCCGAAGCGCTGAAGGACCTGCTGCACCATGTGTGACTGAGTCAAGGTAATGGTGCGGCGTGCTCTGTCCCGAGTGATCTGCAAGCCAAGGTAGCTGCGCAGTTCACCCAGGTCTGTGCACGTGTGTCTCTTCAACAGCTCGGACTTCACGTAGGCGAGTCCAGCAGTGTCCGCTGTGGCAAAGACCAAGTCGTCGACGTACACGAGGATGTAGAACGGCGGCAGGGAAGTGTCGGTGCGAAGAAACAGCGACGGGTCAGCAGTAGAAGGAGCAAACCCAAGAGCCGCAAGCGTAGTCCTCAGTGTGTCGTGCCACTCACGCGGTGCCTGGCGGAGACCGTAGACTGGCCGTCGGAGGCTCCACTGGGTGCCAGGAGGGAAAGTCCCAGTGAAGCCAGGTGGACGGCGAAGCCAGATCTCCTCGTGCAGGCTACCCTGCAAGAACGCAGTGCTGAAGTCGAGAGAGTGAAGCTCGTAGTCGCGCTGAGCGGCTATGTGCAGCAGCACCCGAAGAGTAGTCATCTTCGGGGTGGGAGAGAAGGTCTGAAAGTAGTCAACTCCCTGCCGCTGACTGAAGCCACGAGCAACGTACCGTGCCTTGAAGACAGGTGGAGAGCCCGGCGGCCGCTTCACCCTGAAGATCCACATGCCACTGACGATGTTCGCCCCAGGAGGGGGAACCGCGTCAACGTAGGTGCCTGTGGACTTCCAGGAAGCCATCTCTGCATCCATAGCTGCCTGCCACTGAGAGGAGTAGGGACCCTCTACGGCCTCCGCGTAAGAACGCGGAGTCGGGATGTCTAGTGCATCCGGGTCTCCCTCAGGGGCAAGCAGTACTGACGCGAGATGAGGTGAAGCAGCCGCTAGACACTGTAACTCCTCCTGCCTGTCCTCTAGGACGTCCGTGCCAAGAGCACACTCACCCCCGACGGACGGAGGACAGACAGACGCAGACCCAGCAACAAGACTAGCAGCGTAGTCGAGACGACAGCGAGCAGCAAAGTCGACGAGCTCAGCGACTAGAGCAGACGCAGCAGTGGACTCAAAAGAGGGGTCAGTGACGACAGTAGCAAGCAGACGCGTGACAGTGGGACTGGCAGCACGAAGAGAGTCCGACTCAGGGTCCGCAAGCGCAGGAAGAGAGGACTCAGGAGGAGAAGGCAAAGGGGCACGCAGAGGAGCAGTGGACGGACGTAAAGACATCCGGTGCGTGCCAGGGACAGGAGGAGGACGCTGACGCGAACTGCGACCACTAGCGCGAGCAGCACGAACAGGCGACGCGGGACGAGACGCAGGCTCACGACGCTCAGCAAGACCTCCAGTAGGACCAGTGTAAGGAGAGGGAGCAGGCAGTGGAGAGGAAGGCTCCAGTAGGGGCTGCGACTGGACAGGCGGTGGACCCTCTACTGGAGGAGAAAGACCAAGAACCTGCTGAAGGAGCGGAACGAAGTACGGCCGAGGCCGCGCGGCAGCTCCAGACTCAGCAGGGACAGCACCAGCACCCTCAGCGACAGCACCAGCGCCACCCACACCTCCAGCGGCAGGACCAACAGCAGCAGGCTCAGCACGAACGCCCTCAGCAGCTCCAGCTCCAGGAGGACCTGCAGGGCCAGCAGCTCCGGGACCGGCTGCACCCGCACCCTCGACGGTC